AAGGATTCCAGCAAGGCTAATTTCCTAGCAGTGCTTGTTAACAATCCTTTTTCAAAGCAGAGGAGGAAAAAAGAATAAAGATTTAAAAGCCAGCTCTTCCCCCATTTATTCTAAGCTTAGCCAAGTGAGGCAGGAGATGGCCAAGAGAAATTATCCAAGACTTTGGCTTGCCAGCTGTTGCAGGTGGTACCCCTTAGCCCTGGAAATTGCCATGTTTTCCCAGAAAACCCCACTCCTATCCTTCTCCAAGCGGCAAACCACAGCCACCTTTTGCTAACGAAAAACATTCCCCTGAAGGAAGGAGGTGACAGGAACCGTCGCTTCCTCTCCCTCCCTCTGCAAATGGAGCTGGCAAATCAATCGATTGAGGTCCACTGCCACAACCCACTGTCTGCAGCACATAAGGAAGATCACCGTGCCTGCCAAACAATGGTCGCTTCTCTCTCGGAGGCTATTTTTAGCAGCAATAAAAATGAGAGGCTGGTGAACTGAGCATAGAGCAGGCAGGTGTGAGGTGAGGCGTGGCTGAATCCAATCACAGGGAGCTTTTCTTAGAAGTGGCCCATCCAAAATGTGTAACTCATGACACTTTAGCCAGCCTAAGACAAACCCACGCTACACTGATAAATTGCTATACTGTTGTCCAATCAATACAGAAAAATACAGGCAGGTACCAGCAGAATCTATACCACAATGGAACACCTCTGATGAAAGAGACAAACATCTACCTGCCTCACTCCAAGCCGTGTAATATAGCAGCATGGTATGCCTACACGATGTATTATATGGGGTTTTTAACTGGTCAACTGTCACGGGTTCTCCCAAACAACCTTGGTAACTGCAATGCAGCGAAAGTGTTATAAATACTCTTTTAGAGATCCTCGGCTTCCTTCCCAAAAATTACATTTTGGTTAGTTCCCTGGGAATGAGCATTCAAACAGCCTGAATGTGACCATCTAAATCTGGTGCAATTATATCCTGAAATAACTTGCCACCAGCAAACTGTTTCTGATCTTTATTTCTAGTCCTCCCAAAATTGAAGTTCCAAGCAAACACAACCCTCTCCAGAAGAACACTGGGGAAAATAAATCTTCAAACCTCTGTTCCCCAACACCATTCCAAGACACCAGAGCACCTGTATACACCCCTGAACTTGATCCCTTCTACCCTTATTGTGTGTGGGGAGGGGGGCTCGCTCCTTCCAGGCTGCATTCCACAGCAGTTTTGACCCAGCACTTACTGACGTCAGTAGGTGGGTGCTCTCTTGCAGATGTCCACACTCCCTGCTCTACGTCTCGCTTTGCCTACCCAGCTACTGCAGCAACAGTCATGCTGGGGAGCCGCCTGTTTGTTTATCTTCCTCTTCAGCATTGCTTATTTTGATGGCACATCCTTCTGGTCCAGCCCAGGTTGACCCATGAACCCTTCACGTCCTGTTTGCTGGAGTTAACTGCGCAGAGGCGGACAGAGGCACAGTGCAGGAGTCGGGATCACAGTGCATAAAAATATTCTGGGGAAATTTCTCGGGGGACAAGCTATATTTGAATCCATTGTATCTGGGTAACCCAATTTTGTCTCTGAACCAAGGTGCAGGCTTGCCCTCTAGTCAGAGGAATTGAAGGCATGTGAGTTCTTCATGATCTAGACCTCGGACCACGGATAAATGGACTGCAGCACCCCATACCCAGGAAATGGCTCCTGCAGACCACATTGTTAAGTACAACAAGGAATGCCAGCTGCCCTGTCCTATCGTAGTAGACACCTCATGGGTTGTCTGAGACCTCCTGACAACCACTTCCATGGAACATAGAAGAGGATTGAATGGCTTCTTTGCCAAAATACAGCGATGTTAATCAGTTCCAAAAAATTCATAGCTATGAGAAAACATCGCTAAGTGAAACACGGTTTCCCATAAAAATGCATTGAAAACTGGATAATCCGTTCCAATGGGAACGGATTGCCGTCCTTAAGCAAAAATCGCCATAGGAAACATCGCTAAGCAAAACGCATTTCCCCAATTGAAATGCATTGAAACCTATTCAATGCATCTCAATCGGGGGAAAAATTACAACAAATTGAAAAAGAGTCGGAACAAAGTCAAATTAGCTTAACAAAGGGGTTTTAAAGTGCACTTATGATTTCAAGCATTCTAAACATTTTTAAACATTTTAAATGTATAAAAACCAGCCAACAGGAGGCTGTCAAAACCATCGTTAAGCGAAACAGGGGGACCCAAACTGTCATCGCTATGCGAAGCATGGTCCAAACATTGCTATGCGAAAATCGCCCACAGGCAACATCGTTAAATGGAGTGCAAGATCGCTCCGAAAAAGGCATCACTAAGCGCATTTGTCGTTAAACTAAGCACTTGCTAAGTGAGGCACCACTGTATGTTAGATGATATTACACAGTTTTCCTCCATCATCTTCCATTGTTCTGTTCCTCTTAGAAGTCTATACTGTAAAAACATTCATAAAACTAAACTTGAAATAGCCTCCTTATCCTCTTCATTTTAGAAATTTGGAAAGAACAGACTTTCTGTTTTCTTTTCTGTAACTTTTCCCTTGCAGGAAAAAACACTCATACATATCCCTCTTCTGAAGGTCAACCTTCCCCTCCATCTCACAGATTCTTCTAACCGTCTCTTCTAGTCTCAATACCCTTTCATTTTGCCCTTCCCCCACTTTTTTAAAAAAATGTTATAACACTAAGCATTACCTCACAGGCCAGCGATTTAGCAGTGAGCCACTAACTTCATGGCACCGTGGTTAAACTGTAGTATTATAGTCAAAACTATGCACACAGTCAGTGTCTGATCCCAGCGGATTCTGGCAGCCAGCTCGAGGTTCACTCAGTCTTTCATCCTTCCGAGATTGATTAAATCGTGGCGCAGTGGTTAAAACGCTGTACTGCAGCTAAAACTGCTCACGACCTGGGGTTCAAATCCCAGGTAGCGGGCTCAAGGTTGACTCAGCCTTCCATCCTTCCGAGGTCGGTAAAATGAGTACCCAGCTTGCTGGGGGGGCAATGTGTAGCCTGTATAATTAAAAAATTGTAAACCGCCCGGAGAGTGCTTGTAGCGCTATGGGGCAGTATATAAGTCCAATAAATAAATAAATAAATAAATAAATGAGAAAGCACCCAATGTGCAGCCTGTATAACTAAACTGTAAACCACCCAGAAAGTGTTTTGAGCACTATGGGGCAATATATATGCAGCACACTTTGCTTTGCTTTGAACCACGTTTTCCCAGCACAGCCCATCTTGGCTTTTGGAACTGTCAGGAGCAACTGTAGCAAAAGTACAGCTCTAACCAAGAAAACACGAGAGATCTTTGCACCATTATCCTGTGTTCTCCCCACATAGGGAGTTGCCATATACTAAGGCTACACTGACAATGACCGGCAGTCTCTCTTCAGGACTTCAGCTAGAACCTGAGATCTTTTGGCATTCAAATCATGGGCCCTACCACGGAGCTACAGCTTCTGAAAATAGGTTATTCATCAATCAAGGGGAAATAAAAGCAGTGTAGTTGCCAATTGGACTCACGATGTAGCTGTGTAAGTATGTGCTTTATCAAACTGAATGTACTTCACTAGACAAGCAGCAAGACTCAGAGGTACATAAGCTTTGCAGGATAAGGCCATACATGCTTGGTGGTCAACATGAGAAGTCACAAGCAGTTGTAGAAGAGCTGCCATAAACAGTATCATGGTGTGTAACTGGAAATAATTGCTACAGAAGTGTATATACTATACTATGACAATGCAGAAAAACATGGAAGAGCTGTCCAGAGTTGGCCAAGTATCAATTCTTACAGAAAGCCAACGTACCTTACATATCAAATCACGTGACTAACAAGCCTCCACTGTGATCATCCGCAAAAGATTTATATAGGTGTTTATTTTTCCCTTATTATTCCTTTATCCATTCCAAAGTTAGGATGCCTCTGCTCTAGATAACTATTGAGAGTCACTGTGTTTCTCGATGGAACTGGAAATTCTGATATGTTAGGTATACCACATGTTAGGTGCTGGTGTTTACATGGTCTTGCAGCTGACCCTCTTAAAGCTTGCCCTTAATTCAATTTTTGTTTGTGATTATTTAACAATTCTTGCAACCCAAGCCCACTAATAAGGCCATGCATGTTACCTTTTTGATAAGATTAATCTAGATCAGTGGTTCCCAGTCTTGGGTCCCCAAATATTCCTCGACTAAAACTCCCAGAAGCCTTCACCACTAGCTATGCTGACCAGGATTTCTGGGAGTTGCATTCCAAGAACATCTGGGGGTCCAAGGTTGAGAACCACTGATCTAGAGCAATCTGAACAGCCTAACAATTTAAGAAGTCCTGGAACATGCTGGTAGAAAAAAAACGCAGAAAGAACCCTTAACTGCCAGCTCTTTCATGCTAATAGACCTTGCTACAACCCCTCCACTCACTTCTCAGCCTGTAAGGAATAAGAAACGTTCAGTGATGGCACGTGGCATGGGAAAGAGAGCATGAAATCGTTGCAGCTGGGAAAAGTAGGAGCGTGGGAAAATTCCACAGGCCACCTCCTGTATCACGAATTGCAAACTTGTATATTTGTCAAGGTAGTGAAACTCGGGGAACTTCAATACAAAATTAGCAGGTTTTTATACTGTAGCCCAGAAAGACAGATAAGTATATTACTTGTGCACAGTCTCTCCCAAAGCACATGCTCTGGAGCAGGGAAGCAAAAAGGGGCTATTCAAGTTATACGAGCTAGGCAGAATCAACACATCGCATTAACAGGAGCACTCTGGTGATTGAGAATCATCCGCTTAATCATACATGCTCAAAAGGCCCTCAATCCAAAATGGACTAAGCTTAAAAAGAGCACTAAAAAGTCACTCACATTGACACTGCTGGATGCAGAGCAATCAAAATATATTGAAATTTACATGGACTGCATGCATTCACTATTTTAACAGAGACACACAGACAAACCTGAATGACAGCAGAAATGTTCTCCTACCTGAGTGTGAAAGGTCTGCAGGAAAGATTCTTCTTTGAAAGGCTGCGTTTTCAGGCGCTCTATAAAAGAAACACCAAGAATGGAGCGAGTGGGCCTCTGAATTTGTAGGATATCCTGCAAATTTGATTCCTAGGTAATGAGCACAAGGTGCCTCACCTTGGGTACACGGAGTCTGTCAGTGCTGTGTCAGCATACTGGATATGTTCTGATTAGAGATGGGGCTATTCGTATACGGATACCCATGCACAGGTGGCGTTAACAAGGGTCCAACCCCATTGGGCTGGACAATGCACTCACCGATCCGCCGCGGAGGTGGATGGTGCGATTCTACCACTGGCTCCGCAACATGCAATCCACTCGCCCGTCTTGGCAGGACGCGGGAGGACAAGCCTCGCTGCAAGGTCGAAGAATGGCGAGCAGATTGTGCGCTGCGGAGCCATCGGTAAAATTGTGCCATCCGCAGCGGATTGGTGAGTGGACCATCTGGCCCCATGGGGCTGGACCCTCGTTAACGCCACTTGTGCAGGATATTCGTATTTGTATATGAATATGAATACCCCCATCTCTAGTTCTGATACATATAGCAATGAACTCAGGGATCTGAAACGCTTACTCTCAACTCCACTGCCAGCCTACAGGGCTACAGGATCACCTTGCTGGACTGCAGTTCCCACAAGCTCTACGTCAAAACCAACATAGCGACTAGTAAGAGAGAAGCTGCAACCCAACAATATCTGAAGGGGCACACATTCTTTATCCTTGCTACAGAGACCACCTACGACTGTGAAGATAAAGGATGGAAAAAAGGATCGTGCCAGGTTAGAAACCATTACTGTTTTAGAGGACAGAATCAAGCAGGTCAAGCAGGCTGCAGGATTCTGAGACTTCTCATCCAAAATAACAATAATAACCTTTCAAACGCTAGGGCTATGCTATGTAATTTACATAAAGTTTCTTCGCATCTACCTGCTAGGAAGCAGTACTGAAAAGTCAATGGGATATGGAATAACTGAAGATAACTGCTATACAACTGTGTAACAGCCTCTCTCTCAGTATTGCGAAAGTACTTCCTATGCAGATAATACAGGTGTTCTGTTTTCAGGGACTCCCTGGTGCAACTCAGCTTGCCTTTTTGGACTAATGCAGAAGTAGGAAGCGGGTCAGGACACCTGAAATTAGAAGCAAGGACCTTGTTGCCAAATGACCATCTAAAAAAGACACTGGAGCCTGCCTTCCAGTGTTGAAAATGGGTTTGAAGCACACAAGTCAGGTGAGGCCACTTGGCAAGAAAAGTATAAACCTGGTAACAGATGAGCTGTGACGAGCCTTATTTGGGCCTTAAAACATCTGAAGTAACTTGATATCTCCTCTCCCACCAAACACTGGGTGTTTCTAAGCAGAAGCTATGGATGACTGCAAGGGCCCATCCCACAGGTGGTGGATAATAATAATGAGTGGAAATTGTGGCTGGCATCTGTTCAGAGCTGGCACATGCTCAATACAAAAATGAGAATGCCAGGCCACTTAGCAGACATTGTTGACTCAGTTTGGAGACAGGAGATACATAGGCGCATGTGACAAATGACGTGACGTGGTTGTGTACGGTGAAAAGATGGGGAGTGCCACGAGTCCCTCCACCCCCACTGCTCCTTTCTGTACTGCCTTCCTGAGGCCTAAACCCTAATCTAAGCATCAGTGGCATAACCAGTCCCTGTGGTCACTGGCCTGGATTCTTCTGTTCTCTGGACTGGAAGAGTAAGGAATGCTGCCTACCTTCAGCAAGTCTCTCAAGCAGCAGGCCTGTGAGCAAAAGCTGCAGCTTTGTGCAGTGAGGGAGAGGGGAGGGCGGGGGGGGGGAGCCCTCAATGGTTCTAAGTGCTTACTGAGAAAGGAAGAGGGGAAAAAAAGAGCAGCCTGATTCCACTCAAGTTTCTTTTGAAACTGGCACAGGCCCCAGCCTCCTGGGTTGTGGCCAGGCACTCAAAGGAAAGGAAAGGAAAGGAGCCCTTTGGCTAGCCCCCAAGCACTTCAGCTACTGGTCAGTGTCCAGCTCTTTCCACTCCCGAGGGCCTTGACCCCACAGCGTCTGGTTAGCTAGTCTGGAGCTACTGCATGTGAAACCCAGGTTAGTCTGGCCAGGGGCCAAACATGGCACACACGCAGGGCCAGCCTCAAGGGAGGAAAGAAGGAAGCTTATGTCATCAACCAGGGCAGCACCTCACCTCGGCTGAGCGCAGCCCCGTTCTCTTGGTAGTCCTCTATCTCGGCGTCCTTCTGGAGCAGCAAGGATGCCAGCTCCTGCATCTGGCACTGCAACACCAAGCTCATCGCCATCAGGGGCCGCACAAGGTGGCGGAACATCTGTCATCAAGGTACAGAAGAGAGGCCAAGGGTCAAGGAGCAGCAACAGCACTGGGCCTTGGGCCAGTAAGAGCCATTTAAATTCTCCTCATGGGTATTGAATGTACAAATGAAGTCAAATGCTGCCTTCTGCCCAACACCTAGAGATGAATGGGGGGGTGGGGTGGGGGTGGCCGCAGCTCTTGCTGCTGGTAAGAGCCCAACAAAGGCATGCTGCAGTTGGGAAGGAGCATCTCCGCTCTACATATCCTTGCTTGTGACACTGCTGGGAGTAATGCTGGTTTTCAGATCACACAAAGTACTCCTAGCCTTTCTGCTGCCTGTCAGCAGAGGGCTCAGGAACACAACGACCAAAGATCTATTTATTTAAAAGAAAGGTTACTGCTGAATTGCAAGTTGCCCCTAGTGGAGAGAAAAGTGTAACTTGGATTCAGCATCTGTTATTCCACCACCTCCCAAAACGTTGCACAGAAAAAGTAATAAAGGCAAGTCAGTTCTTCTAACCTGAAATTGAAGAAAAGAACAACGCTAAGATCAAGGACAAAATAACTCTTCTGCAAAATGTAACTGCAACGGGGGCCTATCTCTGCAATGTACTCCTTGGCTCCATAGACCATCAAAGGCAAAGAATGGTGGCAGGGTATCTCTCATCCTGCTAGTTCTGTCTCATCCTGAACAGAAGAAGGAAATCATTTCCTCTGGAAAGTAAAAAGGCACCAGAAAATACAGACCACAAACACAGTATCCTGCAGCACCTTTCTTACCCTAGATATATTTGGTCTATAATGCCTGTCATTATCAGAAAACATGCTGAGTTAGGGTTATGGGAATTATAGTTCAACCCATCTCAAGGATGCTAGGTTGGAAAAAGCTGTCCTAGACTTTATGAAATAGGAGGTATTCAGCTCATAGTCAAGATGTCACTGAGTGGCTTTTGGCAAGTAACTCACTCTTAAAAAAAAAAGAATTTGGACTGATGGCACTATTTGTAGAGGGTTAATCTTTTTCCTCAGCTGACATCTGCCAAGAAAATTCCCCACAGCCTACAGAGCAATTGGACTTTTAAAAAAAACTTCTCATTTTTGTAAACAAAGATTAATCTCTATTATTTTAAAAGACTAATAGTTGTGCAGGAGGACTACAGATAGCAAAAGAGGCAATGGGTGAAATGTTAAAAAAAACTTCTCATTTTTGTAAACAAGATTAATCTCTGTTATTTTAGTTGTGCAGGAGGACTACAGATAGTAAAGGAGGCAATGGGTGAAATCACAAGGCACCATAAACCATATCAGTTCTTCGAGTTGCTGTAGTGTACTTGACAGCTATTACATGGAAATAGGGGAGCCAAAATCAGAAAATTAAGCCAATCCCACATTCCAGTCCAAGGCTGACTACACAGCACACTCCAAATGTTAGTTAGATGGCAATGAGATGGAAAGTCCAAGCAGCACAGAGAAGGAGACACCCCACCAAATACCCTGTATTTTCAGCCAATGTTCATGTTAACACATGTCTGTGCATTCAATGAATTCCAGCAAAAAATCAATCACTTGTGATAATCCCATTTCAGGTCTGGCCATGAGAAAATTCCCCCATTTGCTAAAGTAAGGGTTAATAAATTAGTCTAAGCAAATGTAAGGGAGGACTGCAAATGCAAGCTTCCAGACTTCATGTATCTGTAGAAACAAGTGCTAAATTTCACCATGTCCCCAGAATGCTCCCTTTTATTCAATGGTGCAGACAACTGAACTGGAGAGGTGTTCAGTCAAACCCAGGCAGGCAATAAGTTCTTAAGCACTTAAATCCCAGAGCCAACTGAAGCTATTTTGAGGGCTCATGAAGGTAATTCAGTTGCTGCTTATAAGGACCAGCTTATGAGCCCAAGGCAACAAACTGTGCTCTCATATTTAAGTGATCCTAAGGTTTAGGCACCAGATCAGTAAAAGAAACAGACATGTACCACCTCAATCAAGCTACTCTGGGAGCTTTCCCCACTGCAGGCCATGACACCAACTGCCAAGGGTACTACGTTGCACAACATAATTGCAGCCAATGGCTGTGCTTATCTACACAACCTGGTGCTATATCCATCAGAGTAAGCACAAAGTACCAACTACACTTGACAAGTTATTTGTTTGTTTGTTTGTTCAGTCGTTTAGTCGTGTCCGACTCTTCGTGACCCCATGGATCAGAGCACGCCAGGCCCTCCTATCCTCCACCGCCTCCCGGAGTTGTGTCAAATTCATGTTGGTCGCTTCGATAACACTGTCCAACCATCGCATCCTCTGTCGTCCCCTTCTCCTCTTGCCTTCACACGTTCCCAACATCAAAGTCTTTTCCAAGGAGTTATAGGTAATGCAAAATATGCAGTACTTGAACCCCACTGTAGTTTGTTTCTCCTTCCATCAGCAATACTTCCATCAGGACAATGGGCTCTCCCCTCTGCAACCAACCCCCAAAATCTGCAAAGGGAGAGGGTGGACCATCCCGAGGAGATTTTTGGGAGAAGCAGGAGGAAAAAAAAGGAAAAAAAAATCCTATGATGCATGAGGACTTATGATCATGCAATGTTGACTTGTGCCCAAATTCTAAAATCTAGAGTTACTAACTCTCAAGTGCTAATGCTCTTTAAACTGACGTATTTCATTTCTCAGGAGAAAATGTATATCCCTCACGCTCTTCAAAATACAAATAATATGATCCAAGTAACATAACGCTGCCAAATGTCGGTGCACCGGCAAAGTCCATTATCTTAGTATGCAGTGCCCTCTACTGCACACACAACAAAACTGTAACTGATCACGTAAAATTACATGTTTATTTCTGGAAAAATATCTGCCTATCTAAGCAAAGTTGATCCTAAAATATAAGCTTACTACATTCCAGACTGACAGCTGAAAATATCTCAAAGTAATCAAATTATTTGATTATTCTAAAAGGGACCTTGGGAGGACTTCATCCCCAAAGGTTGATTGGACATGTTTAATAGGAATTAATCATTCCGATCCCCTATCATGATGGCTCACCATTCTTCTCAGAGGATCTGTCTTGATAACTGATGGTCATCTCTACACTGTTCTAGTCATAATTTCACACTGAGAGCAAATGGCTCTCAAGCATATTGCCAATTAGTTGACATGCAAGGATGAAAGAGTGACTGGGACCAAAGGAACATCTTCCGTTCACTTTCATTAACAGCTAAGGATGCCTCCACTAACAGCATGTGTGGCTTGTTTGTGCCCAGAATACTTCCAGGGCCATCAGATCCTACTAAGCATTCCACTTTCTGTTGGTCAAATATCATCATCGATTTCCTGCAAGATTTAGAAACCAAGCTGGACCTTTAGGGATGAAGAAAACCTATGCCCCTTCTGATGTTTTAGACAACAGTTCATAATTCCTCACCACTGCCGAATGCTGGCTGAGATCCCTGGGAGATGAAATCCAAAGTATGGAGTGGGTGAGCAAAGTTTCCCTTCCCCTATTGTAATTTCATTACACTGAGTTATGAACCTTGCTCTTCTCAATCCGTGATCATCCTTGCTCAACTCACCATCTCAACAGGTGCCACAGAACAGTGAAAGTCCCAGTAGAAAGGCAGTCCTGAAAGTTCACTCTTCACATGAAGCGTCAAGGTGCTGGGACTCAGCTGGCAGCAAAAGGTGGTCGAGCTGTTCTTTTGGCCTTCCAAAAGGGGACATACTAGGCTACTCAGGCGGTTTAGGAAGGACGATGCATGAGCTGTCAAGCGCTTATTTAGCTCCTGTGTATTATTAAAACACACTTTACACACAGAGATATATATGCACACATACACATTGAAACCTTAATACCTGTATACACATATGCATGAAACAGGGGAATACTTCCCCACCAAAGACTAAGCAGGAACTTCCCCACCACTTCCTCTCTCTTTCCCCCACAGTTCAGACATTAATAGGAATGTGTGTGTGTATGCACACTCATGCCAGCCAGAAACTCCATAAATCACCCAAAGACATTTCAGCACAATCCTCTTTTTATATTTAACTGGAATCTGCTTGCTGTTTATCTCCATCTTGCCTCATCCCTTGAAGGGATACAAGCATTTTTAAAAGACAGAAATAAAACAAAACAGAAGGTCCAACTTATCAGAACACTAGTTTTGTGCCAAACACAAATCTTCTCTAGTAGTTTTTATTACACAAATATGGATTAACAGATACCTAGAATACAGTCATCACCTGGGGAGATGCAATATTTCACCCTTGCAGCACTCAAAAAAAAAATTGTTACTGAGATAATTTCTAGGTTGTGATATACCTGCATAAATGCTGCTATCAACCAACACAATTATGTGTCATCAAGTACATTCTGACTTCTGCTGACCCCCTTCCAAGGCTTTCTAGATATACAAGACTCAGAAGTAGTTTACCGTTCCCCTTTTTCTGTGGGTACTCTGAGGCTGTGCAGTTCACCCAGGGATATTTTATTCATATTATTCATATGCCACATTTTTCCCCATAAGGGATCCGAGGTACGTAGCTCACAACAATTAAAAATATAGAATAGTCAACACTTCTAAAACACCAAAGGAATTAATTTTTTTGGGAAAAAAATCAAACATTTAGCAATATTAAAACCAATGACTGAACATAAAGTTTAAAATCATTTAAACATATCTAAATTTAATGAATAAAGCATTCCTGGGTCATATTATTCATATGCCACATTTTTCCCCATAAGGGATCCGAGGTACGTAGCTCACAACAATTAAAAATATAGAATAGTCAACACTTCTAAAACACCAAAGGAATTAATTTTTTTGGGAAAAAAATCAAACATTTAGCAATATTAAAACCAATGACTGAACATAAAGTTTAAAATCATTTAAACATATCTAAATTTAATGAATAAAGCATTCCTGGGACCCTCACTTATTGCTTAAAACTCTGCCTTAAAAGAAAGGTCTTTGCCTGATGATGGAAGGTCAAGAGGAAGGGGGCCAACTTGGCTTCTCAGGGCAGTGAACTCCAAAGCACAGGAGCAGCCACTGAGGAGGCGCTCTACCATGTCCTCACCAAATGAGCTTGAGAAAATGGTGGAACTGAGAGAGGGGCCTCTTCAGAAGATATTAAAAGCCAAGAAGGTTGATACGGGATGATATGATCCTTCAGATAGCATAGATCCAAGCCATACAGGGTTTTATAGATAATAACCAGAACTCTGAATTGAGCCCAGAAACAGAGTGGTAGCCAGTGAAGCTACTGTAATGAGGGATACACAGGCTGGCTCTTCCCCTAAAAGGCACAGCGGGAAATCAAACTGCCAACCCCTGATATTCCATCTCACTGAGCTGTACAGCCACCACGTACCAAATAAAGGCTGTAACCATTTCCCATTAGTGACAATTATGCACATACACATGCATCCCAAGAATATTCCATTCCATTTCATTATTTTTTTAAAGTATTTATTTTCAGCAGTAGTTGTGCAGTTCTTTTTCCTAGCGAACTGGATGCTGTGCACTAACAAGTCTGCAAGATATCATATAGCAGCAACACACAGCTACTGACTATCAAGAATGTCTTCTCCCTGCAGAATTATCATGCTTGGATTTTCCATTAAAACTGAACAGATAGGACAGCTGCTTAACTGGGTCTGCTACAGGCACACTTTATAATTCAGATTCTCCACTTACCTTTGACCTATGCTGAATCACTTCCATATCTGCACTTTCATACCACATGTTGTTGAGGTCAGAAAGGAGCAAGGCGTAGCCAGCATCTCCAAACCAAGCCTTTGCCATCAATGTGGTGGACTCACTAAAGCAAACTGAAGCCCAAGGCTGTAGAAGAAGCCTGTTTTCTGGATCCTCAAAACGATCCATCCTACAATAATATTTACATTTCATTCTACGCATTTAACTTGAATATACCATTTTCTAGTTCTGCAAAATGCAATCCAATTAAATTAAACCAATCTATAAAGTAAAGATCAATCATAGAATCAGAGTCCCATAAATTCAGGATAGTGCAGGGTAAGGTCACTTTTGGAAAAAAAAGATTATTATTTGAGGTCACCGAGTATACTTACACTATACTGTTATAATGTGTTTCTATCTCAGATGCCATGGGTCCATTCTACAGAATTCTGGTATTTGTAGTTTGTAAGAGACACTTAGAATTCCTGGCTAGAGAGTCAGAGTGGTATTGCCCAGGAAAGTGCACTAAAGCTCTCGTACAGAGGGATCAAAGTGCAAAACCCACAGTTCCTCAGAATGGAGGAGTTAACAGATCTAGTATCAAGCTACTGTACAGTACAAAAACCCACAGTTCCTCAGAATGGAGGAGTAACAGATCTAGTATCAAACTACTGTGTTGTCTAGACACATTCACAGTCGTTACTCCTAATATTTGGAACTAGTGTGTTGGAACTCTCAGACTAAATTGCCTCACTCAAAATACAATGCTAATTCTGATGTAATTCTGAAAGTTCAAGCAGTGAGTTCCCTTTTCCAGATGGCTTTCTGAGGATTCCAATTTCTTTCTGCATTAAACAAAGGACAGCACTTTCCATATATAGCCACTGGGAATCAAGGAGCACCTGCAGAGGTCCCAGAACTATTGCAACTACACTTCTCCCTTCAACAACACTGGGGTTAGAGGTGCTGGACCCCCCATGTAGTTCAAAATCCATGTATAACTCTTATGCCCGCAAAACCGTAACTACAAACCATTGATTCACATTTACACACACTTGTTCTTTTCCATAGCGTTGACACTCATTTTCATACAGTACCATGTGTAATGAGCATTAAAGGTCCTTATGATGCCCTGATCTAGAGGCTGAATTAGAGGATGCATTGTAGGTAGTAGGTATCTCTATTCTGCAGTAGCCTATGAAACTAGTAAGGCTATTTTACAACTTATTTACTTGTATAATATTTGTTTGTGCAATTCAAGGGAGAAGTATACTTCCTTCTAAATGCAAATATGCTCCAGTATGACATCATGCCACCTCTGAGTACCTGCTGTCTCACAAAATGGCAGAGTTTATATAGTTACGTTTTTGGATTACAGAACCCCCTATTCAGCATGGAACGTAGTTCTTCTAAAATCTGCAAAATTAGGTGCCCTTGCCTGGACATTCACAGACAAAAACAGCGGTGTCTCACTCACTCACTCTCAAGCACATACCAGTCAAACTACGGTACTTCTTTCTCTTCTAGAGTTAATGGTCATTTGTACAAAGCCAAGCCAGCTCTACCATTAGGTATAGTGAGGCAGCCATCTCAGTCAGCAGCTTTGGGGGTGTCATGAAAGGGTAGTAAATAAATCATTAGTTATCTAATGTAAGTCATTTAGTTATGCAGGAAGCAACAGTTAGAACTGGATATGGAACAACTGATTGGTTCAAAATTGGGTAAGGAGTACAACAAGACTGTTTATTGTCTCCATGCTTATTTAACTTATATGCAGAATACATCATGCGAAAGGCAGAACTGGATGAATCCCAAACCGGAATTAAGATTGCCAAAAGAAATATCAACAACCTCAGATTTGCAGACGATACCACTCTGATGGCAAAAGTGAGGAGGAATGAAAGAACCTCTTAATGAGGGTGAAAGAGAAGAGCACAAAAAATGGTCTGAAACTCAACATCAAAAAACTAAGATCGTGGCCACTGGTCCCATCACCTCCTGGTAAATAGAAGGGGATGATATGGAGACAGTGACAGATTTTATTTTCTTGATCACTGCAGAGGGTGACAGCAGCCATGAAAGTAAAAGATGCCTGCTTCTTGGGAGGAAAGCAATGACAAACCTAGACAGCATTTTAAAAAGCAGAGACATCACCTTGCTGACATTGGTCCGCATAGTCAAAGTTATGGTTTCTCCAGTAGCGATGTATGGAAGTGAGAGCTGGACCATAAAGAAGGCTGACCGCCGAAGAAATGATTCTTTTGAATTGTGGCGCTGTAGGAGACTCTTGAGAGTCCCTTGGACTGCAAGGAGAACAAACCTATACATTGTGAAGGAAATCAACCCTGAGTGCTCACTGGAAGGACAGATCCAGAAGCTGAGGCTCCAATACTTTGGCCATCTCATGGGAAGAGAAGACTCCCTGGAAAAGATGTTGATGGTGGGAAAGTGTGAAGGCAAGAGGAGAAGGGGACGACAGATTACGAGATGGTTGGACAGTGTTGTCGAAGCTACCGGCATGAATTTGACCAACCCCCGGAAGCAATGGAAGACAGGAGGGCCTGGTGTGCTCTGGTCCATAGGGTCACGAAAAGTTGGACATGACTTAATGAGTAAAGAACAACAAGAAGAGCTGCTTAAGGGATTTTCTGCCTCCTATGCCAAAATAATTTATCTAAATCAGTCACCTCAAATCTTGGTGCATAGAGCAAGAGAGGATTTACTGATGCATCTCAAGCAACAAAATGTATTTGGCCAGCCCTGAGTGACACATGTGAGTAATGCACAGGAAACATTACTAAACCACTAATTCGAAAATGGTGAGTTTTAGGGACATCCTTGATTCCTCTTTAGCTGCACAACAGAAGCACAGCAAGTAAGGGTTAGAATTAGTTACAAGTTTCCCAAGAATCCCCAAACTCTATGGTAATAAAAAATAAAACAAAAGTTTGAACAGTTCTGTCCCGAACAAAGCAACAGGAGCGAAGCCCAAAGAATGTCCACTTGCTGATGTACAGAGTGGTACAAGAAAAATCCAGCGCTACAGGACAAATAGAATATGGAACATGAGAAGTACCAATCAAGGTAAGGACACCATAAGACCAGATGTTGAATGTTATTCCTGCGTTAACTCCACCGACTACAACACCGGAAACGTCTCCCAAAGGCAAAACGGGGAGGCTTGATCCAAACCTACACCAGAAAATGAACAGGAGACAGTTAAAGCAACGGAGAGAAGGACTGGAGGAAAGAGGGGAGCACAAAACCCTACCGACACCAGGGGAGGAGGACCCCAAAGGCATTCAGCGACAACAGCTTGCCTCCACTCCGCTCTCTTCGCAGGTTGCTAGGAAAACCGAGCACTTCGTTGCCGCTACGATTAAAAAGGCAAAATCCTTTCCAAGTGTTACGATCGTCTCGTATACAGATGAGCCCCACCACCACCACTTCCACGATACTTTAGCCGCCAGAAACTACAGTTCCCAGCACACCGCTCTCCTTTCGCAAGGCATGCCGGAAATTGTAGTCTAGTAGGGAACGACGCCCTGAGGGTGACGGGGCCAAGAACTGCATCCCACTTTCCTCCAGGAATGGAGCAGACATGGAGGAGAGCGCTACACGGGAATCTTTGCAGGCTTCTGCCTCGGTCCCCCCGACCCTTCTCACCATAAACGCCGACTCCTGCCACGAGGAACCTGAGGCCGCGTCGAGGAAAAGGGCGGAGATGGACGCGGCACCGGAAATGGTCCTTTTGCTGCTCTTCCTCCCCGAGGTGTTGTTTCTCAAGATACAGTACTGTACAGTACATGCTTCCTCACCACATGTTCCAGGAAAGGCAACAAGGAAAGGCAGAGGATGGGGGAGCGTCCCGTGTCTTTAAAGGGGTCCGGGCACGCACAGCATGCAGCCTCGCCGCTTCTAAAACCCCCAAAATGAAACTGAAAAATCCGAAGAGGTATCCAGTAGTGCAGTACAGTCCTTCTTCCTATGAACAAATGGACTGTAGCTCAGGAAAGCTCTTGATCGTTCCAGAGTCTTAAAGGTGTTACTTGTCTTCTCGCTCTTCATAGGTGAAAACAAAATCAGTAGTTAAAAAATGACAAAAACGTGGTGTCACCTTAAAGACTTAAGTTTTATATACCAAGTTTTTGTATTTTTATGTTGTTCTCACCTATAATGCCTGCACAAACACGGCTACCGCTTCTACAACTTCTCATTCTTGTTTGCCAAATGGCTGGATTGAATCAAACTAATACCTGACACTGAACATGAAGGAAGTAGGATTGTGCACACTGGCTCCACTCTTGTATTCTATTTAATGTGTGCATCGATCAAATGTTTTCTTGTTATGAGCCATCACGTTTTCTCCAATTATGGCATCCTTATGAATGAGCGACCTCCAAAATGTCCTGTCCTCAGCCGTCCTGCTCAGTTCTTGTAAACTCAAACCTGTGATTCTTTTAGGGAAGCAATCCATCTCATACTTGGTCATCCTGTTTCCTGCTGCCTTCAACCTTTCCCTGCTTTGTTGTCTTTTCGAGAGAATCCTTCCTTCTCATGTTGTGCCCAAAGTAAGACAGCCACAGTTTCAACATATTTGCCTCCAAAGATAGTTCAGACTTTTTTTTCTCTTGCACCCACTTGTTTGTCTTTCTGGCAGTCCAGGGTATTCGCAACACATTTCAAACCAAACAATTTTTTTCCTGTCACCTTTCTTTACTGCCCAGCTTTCACACTCATACCTGGTGATCATAACTACAAGAGTGTGGACGATCTTGGTCTTAATCTCCAGTGACACATCCTTGAAGATACTGTATACAGATATATCAATATAAAAACAGCATTTCCAATTGCAGATGTACATACAATTCCACATACATAAGATCTATGCCATTTTTTTCATGTTTTGTGGGCCCCACATCCTCAATATTTTTAACATAGCCATTAAGGAATGCAAGGTGATTTTCTACATTCAAAAAAACACAAAGCTATTTTTGTAAGAAAAAAAATCAGAAGCTTAGAGGCCAGTTCTTCCATGTCCCAGGGCTGGGCAGCTTCCAGACTTGGAATATTATACCTAGCTGGCAGGGGAGATACCATGATAACTCTTCTCATATAAATGGTTTGTGAAGCTTGAACATCTCTACATGTCTTTACCCTGTGTACTGACTCAGTTGCATTTTAATGCCAGCATATCATCAAACAACTGATGGATAGGCACATTCAACACTGATAAATTACTAGTGAACACAAATGAACCAGCCAGCTCAGGTTGTAAATATATTTGCACATGACTGGGCACATGTTGAAAATTTACTCAAACATTAATTTTCCCCATGACCATATCCGGTAAAAGTGAGGATGTGTAGAGATGTAGGGATGTAGAAACAGAAGTCTAGTTGAAGATTTGCCTTAAATTCACCTATATAGATTTACCGTAATACTGTATTAATAAAACTGTAGCTGTGATATATTTCTAGCAAGTTTGTCTGATCTCCGGTAAATGGTTTTTTAAAATTCCCTTTTTAAAATTTCCAGTGTCTATAAGCCATACTGTTATAGAACACACATAGAGAAGCTGAGAGAATAACAATAAGCAACTTAAGAACATCAAGAACAATGCTGCAAAATTTGACATGTTGAAATAAACTCCAAAAAGCCATTGAAAAGTTTAAATATTTTTAATGTTCTTCTATATAAGGAGCTGACAATTTTCACTTGGAAGAGAGCTCCACACTGAAATTTCTTGCAAGGTGTCTTTTTCTATGGTGGTGGACATGTGCAAGTCTATACTAAAGTGACATCTGCCAGGCATCCCTGGAGATGAAGCTACAGAAGTGGTTTGCCCATGATGATACTGGAAAACTCTTCCGGCATAGCTGCAATGGGTCTGTGAGGAAGAACAATTAGGTATAGGATTAGTCTGCCCTATACTTACATGTCTACAGTGATTAACCATACAACTAGCATCTGAGGCGAAAAATCACAAAGCTAAGCAAATCTGTGATACAATAGCTAAAAGTATTTCTACCGAAGCTATTGGTTTGTCTGCCTTTGCTGCCTTCACAAGCAGTTGATGATACAACATGTGATTTGCAGGCAGAAGGTCCAACGTTCAGTTTTGAACTTCGGACAGATCCTGAAGCTGAGGCTCCAGTACTTTGGCCATCTAATGAGAAGAAAAGACTCCCTGGAAAAGACCCTGATGTTGGGAAAGTGTGATGGCAAGAAGAGAAGGGGACGACCGAGGATGAGATGGCTGGACAGTGTCTGCGAAGCAACCAACATGAATTTGACACAACTCCGGGAGGCAGTAGAAGACAGGAGGGCCTGGCGTGCTCTGGTCCATGGGGTCACGAAGAGTCGGACACGACTAAACGACTAAACACACACACACACGTTTTGCTTTTTTAATCTCAAGCAACAGATCTTGCTTGGTATGGGGAGATTTATTGTGCAGAATATTTCCTACTATTCCTATAATATTGTAATTGGTTCATAAAACAATTTGATAGGTTCAGGATGGATGAAAGGAAGGGCTTTTCATCCCATAATGCTCATTTCGTTTACAGCAAGGATGCGGAAAAGTGGTCCTCCAGATGTCCTTAAACTACAGCTTCCAGCATCCCTCACCATTGACCGTGCTGGCTGGGGGTGATGGAAGTTGCAATCCAACAACACTTGGAGGACCATATGTTTCCCACCCCAAACTGAATAATTTGCCACCACGTGAGATATTTGTGGTATCTGGCTTTAGCAGACAATGGTCCAGCCTACCAGTAATGATCATTACATTGAAACTCATGGCTCACTAGCTTGAATGTGCTCATATAGCTATGCTGCACTGGAGTTCCATTCTTCAGGTCTGATGTTTGGTGTGCTTTTGTAAGAACCTGATCCAAAGGGCACTGGTTGTCCATACAGCATCTATGTACTATGGCATAGGTTCCTCCACTGAAGCTGCATGGTGGGAGGTAAAAAATGAACCACTTCTTCACACACTGCATTATTTCCAAAAGGTACAGTGATGACCATTACTGGTATGCCTTTAAAATGGGATTACAGAAATTCACTCATGCAGTTTCGCTCTGTACCTGTCTGTGGCGCCTAGTCTTAATGACTATATATTACAAAACGATGCAGGCTATCATTACTTTTCTGGAAGGGAAAAAACCAAATCTTCTATATAATTTTGTCACAAAAGAGAAGGACTACAATCAACTAAATTGGCCAAAAACAGCATAGCTGGAAGGATGGTTGTGATCAACTAAACGTCCTATCTGGATGGTAAACAAGCAAGCAAACAATAATGATTAGGTCAAAGTTTGCAATGGCGGCTAGGGAAGTTCTTACCTTGGATATGCATTCAAAATACTACTATTTAAATATGAAAGGGCAGAAATATGGAACTAAATTTGCCCCCCACACACACACCTCCAGCTCTCTGATGCATTAGGTTATTTCCCTCCTGAGCAAAAACTGCATGCTACGTAGCACTATGGGATAGCTTGATTCTTATGGGCAGAGAAATGGAATGGGAGGTCTTAATGCAGGGGTCTCAAGCATGCAGCCCGGGGGCCATTTGTGGCCCGCCGGACGATAGTTTGTGGCACCCACCTTGCCTCCCCCCCCGAAGCGCCCATGCATCCTCTGCTGACAAGAGTCAAAAAAAAGTGTCGCCTCGTTCGCCAGCTCTCCCCCAAGACAGCGCCTCTTGCACCCTCCATCTGGAACTGCAGCCTGCCAGCCAGCCTGCCTGTCTGCTGGCTGGCAGGCTACAGTTCCAGATGGAAGGTGCAAGAGACACTGTCTTGGGGGAGAGCTGGCGAACAAGGCGCGCTGCTGGCCCTTTTCCCTGAGCCGCCACCGAGCGATGCCTGAGAGCGGAGCTTGATCCCACCTCATCCTCGAAGAGCATCTCCAAGCCACCAACAGCAGCTGCCACTGCCGCCTCTTCCAGGAAAGCGGCCCTCCGACTCTCTTACTCTCTCGGCACCCCCAGCACCAGCCCGGCCAGTGGCCACATCAGCGCCCAGTGGTGCTTCCTCCTCCTCCTTGTCCTGCTTCAGCTGCCTTGGCTCTGGAGGCTGCCTGGGCTCGCCTCACAAAGTTTGCTCCTCTGTCGTGGTGGGGGTAGCTGCTGCTGCTACTGAGTGCCCCTTTTGTTTTTGAGGGGGGCCCTCAGAGGAAGGTTGGCGCACCTCCGTGTGTGTATGTGTGCATGCACACATACATAGGCTTACAGTGATGATCAAAGACAAGCAGCAGATAAAGAAAAGTTACATTGGTGTTCATCAGCAAATTGAGGCAGAAATGTTCAGGGTATGTTATTCAATCCATGTCCTAGTTGCTTGGTTGACTGCATATGTCCAGCTAACTAGAATGGGTATTTCTTAGGGTAAAATCATGCTTGTCTCTTGAATAGCAGCAGAGAAGCATTTCAGAGAATAGGGGCCACCGCAGAGAATACTTGTCTCTATGTTGCTGTTAAATAGTGCTCTATAAGTTGTGGCACAATCTATGGAGCACCATGAAGATCCCAAAGGTCTAATGCACCAGTGGTGGTAATGAAGAAGAAGCTGGAGGGGGTCGTGGCCGGCGATGAGGGCTCGTGTGCCCCTCCTCCTCCTCGGAGCCCCAGCCGGGCTAAGGAAACTCCTGGGCAGCTTCCTCGGGCTCTTGCTCCACTTGGTGGAAAATCTGATGCGGCCCAGTCTCACCCAGCCTCTGCCTCCAGCGGCCCCCAGATAAATTAAGTTTGAGACCCCTGTCTTAATGTAAATTGTCAGAAAGGCAAAAAAAAAAAGATCCCCAAAGTGATAGTGATTGAACCGTTTTGAACTTATATATGCACTGACTCTGCTCTAAAGGCAAAAAGGTTAGTATTACCATCTCATGTGGTCTGTCATACAGACTTTATGTATGTATGTATGTATGTATGTATGTATGTATGTATGTATGTATGTATGTATGTATGTATGTATGTATGTATGTAGTATGTATGTATGTATGTATGTATGTATGTATGTATGTATGTATGTATGTATGTATGTATGTATGTATGTATGTATGTATGTATGTATGTATGTATGTATGTATGTATGTATGTATGTATGTCCCGCTCATCTGGTCAAATCGACCACTCTGAGCGGCTTCCATAAAAAGTATGCAGTGAAACACAAAAAATTTTCAGATAAACAACACCACATATAATAAAACAAATAATAAATGGAAAGAGAAAGGAAATTAAGTATTGACAGGAGGGAAGGCTGCCTGAAACTAAGCTCCTTTGAAAAATACCTGAGTACCTGCCCTTGTATCACATTTCTGTCTGGGCAAAGATTTCCTTTAGATCAGCACAGAGAGATCATCTCATGAGCCATTGGTCTATACCTTTTGTGACTTTCCAAATTCTCTTGTGCCACATTAGGCTCCTGCACTGTCTCCAGCTGCAGTTCAGACTCAATCTTCAATGTCCCCTGTTTCAGAAGAGGATCTGTGGTTTCCTCCTCAGAACAACGCAATACTTCCAGCGGGTTGATGTTTGCAGACTCCTCTTTGCCCTTCTCCAGGGGACAGAGAAGACAGAGAGGGAAACCTTTGCACCATGAACGTGACAGGTGCTTTTGCAGGGCTATAGGCAGCTCATAGCTTTGTGCAGAACCCATATTGCTTCGTTGTAAATAATTGTCTCTGGCCTCTGGTTTGCATGGTGAGAAGGGATTGAGCAGTCCACGCTCCTGCGGGGTGCCTTGAAAATAATAAGAGGGCAGTATAGGAAAACCATACAGTACATTGGTGAGCACAGAGCTTGGAGACATTACTTCAAAATTACTCAGGTGGTCAAAAAATCTTACAAAATGACCCCCACAAAACATTTCCAAATAATTAGCAAATATTACTTGCTACTAAAGAAATCCCAAACCATAATATTTCTCCTGTTAAATTTTTAAAGATAACAATATTGGCCACTATTATTAATAGTAATGATGTGGGTTTTTTAAAAGTATAGCAAACAATACCATTACAGTGGTGCTTCGCATAACGAGCGCACCATTTAATGACGAATTCGCATAGCGATCTAATTTTTTCAATCACTAATGCGATCGCATTGCGATGTTCTGTATAGGCAAAACATCACATTGCGATGATCGGTAAGCGTTTCGCTTACCAATCTTTGCATTGCAATGTTTTTTAAACAGCTGATCGGCAGTTCCAAAATTGCCGCCGGGTGCCCAAAATGGCCGCCACAAGTGTTTTCGCGCCCTGCCCTTGCCTACCGAGGGCCCGAAAATGGCGGTGCTATGGAGGAACATCGCTGAACGGTGAGTTTTGGAGCCATAGGAATGAATTAAACAAAGGTTAATGCGGTCCTATGGCTTTTTACGTTCCGTTTAGCAATGTTTTTGCATAGCGACGTTTAATCCGGAACGGATTAACATCTCTATGCGGGGCACCACTGTACTTTACTTCTATGGTCTTGCTGAAGATGGATTGTAGGTAGTACGTATCCCTATTCTGCAGTAGCCTATGAAACTACTAAGGCTATTTTACAACTTATTTAGTTGTATAATATTTGTTTGTATAATACATATAATAATTTATACAAATTATTCTGCTTTCCAAAGGGCCCTTTTGACATTAAACACGAAAGCAAACCATTCAAATCAATAAAACGTTCCGTTTAGCAATGTTTTTGCATAGCGACGTTTAATCTGGAACGGATTAACATCTCTATGAGGGGCACCACTGTACTTTACTTCTATGGTCTGGCTGAAGATGGATTGTAGGTAGTACGTATCCCTATTCTGCAGTAGCCTATGAAACTACTAAGGCTATTTTACAACTTATTTAGTTGTATAATATTTGTTTGTATAATACATATAATAATTTATACAAATTATTCTGCTTTCCAAAGGGCCCTTTTGACATTAAACACGAAAGCAAACCATTCAAATCAATAAATTACCGTATTTTTTCTGTGTATAAGATGCCCCCATGTATAAGACGCCTCCCACTTTTTAAACCCAAAATTAAGAAATCTAAGTGGGGCTTAGCAAGTGAAGGGGAAAACAGGGATCAAAGCCCTGCAGGATCACTTCTGTCTCCTCAGCTTACTTCTGTGTATAAGACGACCCTCAATTTTTAGTCTAAAGATTTAAGACAAAAGTATAGTCTTAAGGTCAACGAACTCCACCCAGCCACAAGGTCAGGGGATTACTACACACAAAAGACCAGCTAATGACACCCATCAACCACAGGGACAGATAATCTCCCCTCCTAAGCAAAACAATACAGCCACAACAAAACATACTAATTAACCATCTCCTGATAGGACAATAGCCTTCTCACAAACAAGCCTTCTCACAGCCATACTGTAAATACTCCACTCTCAAGCCTTACCCAGAGCACAGTTTGCTGTCCTCTGAAGATGCCGGCCACAGAGACTGGCGAAACGTTAGGAAAAACCACCTTCAGAACACGGCCAAGAAGCCCGAAAAACCCACAACAACCATATAGTCTTATACATTGAAAATATGGTAAAGCATTACACTAGACAGCATTATTGGCAAATAACTTCAATTGATACAATAAATCATGTATCAATTGATGAAACAAATGTATCTTGACTACCTGCTTAAGAACCATTAACAAGAAGCCAGTTTAACCTATCTAGCAAGTTTAATTTAGGATGTTACAATTGAGAGAACCATGTCCCACATTAAGTTGGAGAAAAAGAACAACCTTGTATGCTTACTGGCACTAGCTTTCAGTGAAAGAGGTGCTATCCACAGTTCGACACCACTGATGCAGAGGGACTTTCTTGGGCTAAAGTAACTGCTTACTTTTCTCACTAACCCGTTAACAATGTCTATTTTCCTGGGCTTGAGGCAAGACAAATCTCCCTTCCTGCCTATCTCTGCTTCCATTTTTTGTTCACTCTCTTCTTTCCTGGCCTCCAGGGATAGCAGGCATGTTTTTCTGCTCTTGACCTCAGGACTCTGTGGTCCCAAGGGATCTCTCCCTCTTTTGAGATAGTTGAGAGACCCAATCCTTTGTATCCTTTTTGTTCCTTTTCTTCTCTTCTGATTGTAACAAAAAACAACTACAAGTAATGTTTTCTCTTTTTTTCCTACCTTAAGCTAGTTGTACACTGATTTTTTACATACAAGGGAGCTGGGTTAGAGCTGGGATTTTTAACTATATGCCCTGTGCTGTAGCTGGTTTATTTTGTATTTCATTCTCTGCTGACTAAAGGGAACTAACCGATTCCAAAAATTCCACAACCCATTCTAGGCAATTCTTGTAGAATACTGTCCCATCACTGTTTAACTCTGAGTAAAATAACTTTAATGATCACAAAGTTTGTTAGAGATTTTCTGAGAAGAAATGCTAGGAAGGCAAATTCCTGTGCCAAAATTGTGATTATCACCATAATAATTGCTACTACTAACTAAGCCATGATTAAAGAATTAGTATCACAGCAATTAGAGCAAAAGGCTTCCTGTTAGTGTATGGTATCCACTGTCAGACTGACAAAAAGAACATGAATATTACCCATATTTCCCTGTAGTGATTATTCTCCTTTTGTGAGGAAATGTTTTTATAAGAAACAAACACCTAAAGCTGCTGCAGATACTAATCTGGAACTGAGCACAGAAGGATAACACCCTCCCTACACTTCATAGTAAAGTAACCTCTGGCTTCTTCCTCACCTGAGACTGTATTCTCTAAGAAGAAGGCCAAAGATCCAGTTATAAAGGCAGGGGCCATTAATAGAGAAAGGAAGAAGAGATCCACAGGGACACAACCTGCAGGGGGAAAAAAACATCCTGGTGATTTTAGAAACATTACAAGCTTATCACCTACATGCAACATGCCTTTGATTTCATACAAAGCATAATTAATTATTAATGAAAGGGGTCAGATACCTATTCCTGTAAAACACTTCTGAACTAAAGAGTGATCGCCAAGGTTGGGGACCACTGCTGTAAAACACTTCTGAAGTGAACTAAAGAGTAATCATTGCTTTCACAAACCTTGTGCCCACATGGTTTATCATACTCTATAGTCTGGATGATGGGCCTAGTCTATTACAAATGCTGAATACAGGACTTACTGGATTTACTTACTGTGTGTTTTGGCTCAGAATGTGTCCCCCTGCTTTCCATAACAATCCAATCAAAGAGTTTTACCATTTAGAAAGAGAGGTTACATTAAAACTCTATAGATAGTATAGAGCACCACTGGAATACGACTAATATTAGAGAAATGAATCCAACTTAGCAATAAACATAAGGCACTTGCATTCATGAGTTAGAACAAATGTGAAGAAATAAAACACATGCTACATATTCAGAAGTCTGTCGCCCAAATGCTGAAGTCTATGTGCCAAGAGACTACAGTCTGGTTGAATAAAAAGGGTGTCACCAAGTAATATCCAGAATTACATGTATTGCCAGACAGTTTTCCTAAAGAGGGACTTCCAAAGCTGCCATGACATGAAAGGGGAGATGCTGTTCTAGGTTTAACCTCACAAGGAAGTAAACACAGTCTTAACTTCCTAAAGAGGGACTTCCAAAGCTGCCATAACATGAAAGGGGAGATGCTATTCTAGGTACTCACAGATTTAACCTCACAAGTAAACACAGTCTTAATAATCACTGAGCTTCATGTGGATGAAAATATTCTATTCACAGCTTATCAGACTATTGATTTAAATATTTGTCTCCTGTTGGTGCAAGAGATTTTTAGTCTTTCTTTTCCATGTATCTTAATATGTGCTTTATAAAATCTAAAAAGTAACATTTATCAATAGTTTGAGGTGACTCGTAAAACTTATCTTCCAAAGAACAAAAAAAAAAGAGAGGTACAAAGCAGAGTACAGAAATGCTGGTTTGGACAAATTAAATATTTCCATGAAAACTGCATCATTAAAATTGATTTTCTTCTTCTCAAACTTTGCCTCACTACCAGAATATATTAATTCATCTGCTTATCATAAATACCAAGCATTTACTTTGCAACTGCCTGGCTAATACTGAACTACAACTGCCATCATCCCCCAGTTAGAATGGACAATGCACCTGTAAGCAAAAAATGTCAGGGTTGCTTTTATGGTATCATAAGGACAGTACTGGTTTGGGACAGGCTGCCTGGTTCTATGGTATCAACAGCAGAATGTGATTCCTCCGGATGTTCATTCTACTCACAAGCTCTGAGCAAGCAAAGTCACCTCTCTTCTCACCTGTGGCCAATGAACCTGGAGCAGCTAAGAGCCACCTTGGAATCAGAAGCCCCATAAACATGGTGAAGCCCACAATGAAGATGTTCCTGCCTGAGTCAATGTCTGTGTATTGGAAAAAGGAGACACCGGTGCCTACAGCCACGCTGTATGTCAAGCATAACACACCTCCTGAGGATAAGAAAGAGAACACAAGTAGGGCAACAAAGCAAAAGAGAGTTGTGATTAATCAGAACAAGTAGAAGGGAAGGGAAGGACCCACCATCACCATTCACTAAGACAACCAGGTAGAGCAGCCTCCCATATTTTGAGGACCTGAGGCTACCACAAATTTAATCCAAGGGCAGGGATATATATATATATTCCATAACTACCTTTAGTTTCTCCTTGTTTTATTAGTCTAAAACAGCTTGCATTAATTCAGTCTCTGCAACATGTATAACACAGCAGAGGGCACTGTGAAACATCCCAGCTGTGGGGAGGGTGGTAGAGATAAGAGGAGAAAGAAAATAAATATTTATTTACCATGAATTCCTAGAGGAATGGTGGCAAGGAGTCCCATAAGCCTGGGAGACAAGCCGAACAGTATACACGCCATTGCAGTGACCCACACTGGCCGGGAAGAGGTACCCTGGGCAGAGGAAACAGGGCATGAGGCCTTGCACCTGGCAAAAACAGCCACAGTCCTCCTGAAGTGGCCTTGTGTTCCCACACACATATTCACACTCTACAAGCCTCTCCGCTTTTGACAGGGTGACAAGATGGAAAAGTAAGAGCAAAACCTACAGGTCCAGGATGAATGCTTTGACTAGGACACAGCCTTTTCAGCAGATTCCATCCTCTGCACTGAAAATAATTCCTTCCATCACACTGAAGACAGTATATCAGGGGCCTGATCCATCTTTGCTTCTCCCCTGAACAGTGGCCATGTTACCATAGGAACCTGTGGATAGGCAACACCTACAAAACAACCCCAGGATCCAGTGTGATGCCACATAGAATGCTTCATCGGGAAGCACCCATAACATCCTCAGCATCACCACCTGTTCTTGTTATCTTGTTTACAGATCATATTCCTTTCGATAGGCGGGATATAAATAAAATTTAAAAAAATAAATCTTGTTTACAGATCATCTTCCTTTTCCCACATGGCAAGAACATGTAAAACTTTCCACTTTTAGCACAGGAAATTTTTAAATTTCTTTTAAAGTAGGGTGAGGAGACTGAATATTTCAACAGTAAGACAAATGCACTGCATGTGCTTTCTAAGGTTCAGCTTTTGAAACTTCCAGTTAAAGGGGACCTTAGGTGAGAGAACTGACTTGTTAAAGAAAACTCTTGTCAGTCAGAAAAACCAATCCTGGGTGAGACAGACCAACTGTCTCACTATAAGGCAGCCTCATATGTTAGTGAGTGGTGCTCTGGAAGGTATGAAGATATTACCATTGATGGACTATAGTCCCCAGAATCCCCAGCTAATATTGCCAGTGGGAGTTATAGTAAACACCCCAAACTTTTCCAAGCTCTGGAATGAGGGCTTAACTTCAAGCAGTCTCTGAAACTGGAGGCCACATCTCTATTCTTCTTTGAAGAGAGCAGCCCACTGCACACTGGGACAGTGTGATATAGTGGTTGCAGTCTTGGATTGGAACTTGGGAGGTGCAGGTTCTAGTTACTACTTAGCCACAAAGCTCACTAGGTCACCTTTGGCCATTGACCATCTCTCAGCCTGTCCTACCTCACAGGATTGTTGCTGTGAAGATAAAAGGGGAGGAAGCCAGCTGTGTACACTTCCTTGAGATCAAACGCATGATAAGAAAACACATGATAAGAAGTAATAACAGCAATAACAACAAGTCCCATGAGAGCATCCCTACTCTGGATCTGCACAAAATAAATCCCAGGCCACATCCTCAGCTCCTACCTGGGTGAGACAGGCAGCACAAGCATTAGGAATGCTGGATGCAGTTCCAGACACACTCCCCAGCGCAGCCGACAGAAGACTCCCGAAACCTTCTGCACAGAGTCCTCTGTTGTAGGCATGCTGTGGTGGGGCTGGAAGCCTTAGGGCCTTGCTGCACAGCACATAGCAGCCGACAGAGTTCACACTTGCAGTAACCCCCATGGCAGCACCAATGGCCACTGCGTGGGGGCTAAGAGTTGGCCAGCCGTTTTGCCCTGCAGAAAAGAAAGAGAGAGATGGGAAGTGAGATCTAGTTACCAGCCCAATGAAAGGGCAGGGTCTAGTTAAGCTGTCTGTGTTTTTCAGGCATTAAAGAGTTTCTTTCTTATTTTGTAGCATCCAGGGACTTCCCTAGGATGAAAGGGATCCTTAGAGATCCACAGAACCTGGGGAGATGAATAGGAAGCTGGGCAAAGAATTCTAGTCATTAATTTTTTTTTAAAAAAAAACTATTGATTTGTTTTGATTCTGTGGCTGGCCTTTAGCACAAAGATAGGATACACCCATACCTGGGTATGGCACCTTGAGCCATGGGGACTGTAGGGTGCTGTTGGTGAGGGTCAAATGGTGTGTGGAAAGATGCCACCTCTCCCAAAGAGCTGCAATGGGTCTCAGGATCCCACAGACAAGCCAGATCCCAGAAAATGGTAGCAGAATCTATGGGAATGTAGAATGAATGTGAAAAAAATGTGAAAAGAAAATCCATTTATCTTTCTCACATGCTGCCCCACCTAGATGCTTCTGGGAGGAGAAACGTGGCGTAGGGTGCTGTTGGTGAGGGTCAAATGATGTGTGGAAAGATGCCACCTCTCCCAAAGAGTTGCAATGGGTCTCAGGATCCCACAGACAAGCCAGATCCCAGAGAACGGTAGCAGAATCTATGGGAATGTAGAATGAATGTGAAAAAAATGTGAAAAGAAAATCCATTTATCTTTCTCACATGCTGCCCCACCTAGATGCTTCTGGGACAAGAAATGTGGCTCTCTAGATACTATTGGAGTACAATTCTTATCAGTCCTAGCCAACATAGCCAATGGTGATGGGCAGCAGAACACATTTTCCCCATCTTTGGTACAATATAAATGGACACCACTAAGAAAAGTGGTAGGATTTTTCCTATGTACACACATGTGTACACATACAGTACATGCACATGTGTTCTTTCTAAACCAGTGATCAAATTATTAGCACAAGTTTTTGATAGGTTCATGTGTGGAAGACAAAAGGGAGGTTCTCTATGGAGGCATTAATCAGCACCAATCATTGTGCCAACAATTCAATGCTCAAGAGAAGTAGAAAGGTAGAATGTCGCTTTCAGATCACAAGGAAGGCAGCCCTACACTAGCCTTATGAACGGGAAAGTGCTGCTAGCTCCTTGAACAAGAGAGGCTGTAGGCACAGCTACAAAAATGAGCATTTCAAATTTTCTCTCATTTGGCCTCAGATGAGCAATCCAATCTTGTTAAAAAAACTCCCAAGGAAGCATAGTCTTCCCCCTTCATTTAAAGTAATCCAGTCCACTGTTTAACATCCCCAGGGAGTTCTTCTCAACTTTTTAAGTTGTTATCTCTGAACTCAGCAGTTTAAATGTTGGGGAGGAAGGAGAAGGGAGAAGGGAATTGTGACTCTATATCACGCCATACATTCATACCGAAAACATATGTAGGGCAGGACCGCCCAATCTCACTGAGAACCCTCTCATCTGGCTCCACTGGCAGAGGGGCAATCGGCAGGAAACCAGGTGCTGGGATAGTAAAATATTCAGCAACACAAGTCTATAAGAGATAGATAGCAAACAATAAGCAGGAAAGCACTGCTGTACAGAGTATTTGACTTCTCATAGACATGCATCCACTAAGATCTACCTAAGAGGTCTCTTGTTTGAAGGGAAAGACAAATAATGAATTCCCTCTCCCTCCCTTGTACAGCCCAGTGCTCTCTTCCCATTCCTATCTTGGGGGGGGCGGAAACTTGGAAGGAAATAAAGTAACTTTGGAATTCCTCATTGTAGCATTAGTACTATGAAAGAAGTAGTATGGAAATGCAATCTTGGCTTGAGGATCTCAAACACTAAATGCCAAGATGTGAAATTCTGCATATATTTTGAAAAGAAACCTACTTCCAAGCATATACTGTTTCCCCGAAAGTAAGACCTAACCTGAAAATAAGCCCTAGTATGATTTTTCAGGATGCTCATAATATAAGCCCTACCCCAGCCCCAGTTAAGTGAAAGCCCGCCCTCCACCTTTGTGCAGCAACCAGAAGATGACATGACTGTATTTGAATAAATGTAGATAGTTGTACATGAAAAAATTAAAACATCCCCTTAAAATAAGCCCTAATGGGTTTCTTGGAGCAAAAATTAATATAAGGCCCTGTCTTATTTTCACGGAAACACGGTAAATGGTGGTTTCATAAAGAAAGTCTAGAATTCTGTCACACAATCTCATTTTGTGAAAATTGAGGCATATCTTGCCTACATCTGAATCTTTCCATTCTAAAAATTAAGAACATGGTTACATTAGGGGGGAAGAACACATCTGAATCAGGTTTAGCATGTTTTAAATTGATTTTTTAAAAGGTGACTACATTATGCAAATGGAAGTGTGGATTGTTTTGACAGAGAATCATGTTATTTTGATTGGAAGCAAGTATATGACACTTCTGCCAGAAGATTGTTTATTTTAACTCAGATGTCAAATTGATTTAATTTGAATCGATTTGACATATGTGAATACCTCTGTCTGTAAATTGTGTATGTGGAGTTTGTCACTCACTCTTTGTCCACCTCCTGTGTGTGTTCGTCTCTGGTCAATTTCAGCCTGTCTTCCCTCTTTCACAAACTTAGAAGTGGGGATCTAATCAAAATGTCTCTGGTCAGTTTCAGCTTAAGCTTTGTTACTACTTCTCCTTCTCCACCCCCTCTATGTGTATGTCCTTCTCCACTTAACATTTGCCAGGCTGCAGAGAAACCTATGTTTTCCCCTATCTGTCATTCTGTTCTAGTGCTATTCCAAATTGCAAGAAATGGCACATGACTTTAAACCAAGTTCAAAAACCATGATCCATCACTTGATTTATTTCATTAATGTAACCATGTCCTGAGAAACTCACTGTGTTTTGAAAGCTCAAGAATTTTAATTTCAGCACTAATATGCCCTCCATATTCTTCCAGCTCCCTCCAGAGTGTTCTTGCAGGAAAGTTATTAAATGTAGAAGTTCCATTGCTTACAATAGCTGTTTATGTTCTTGGCTGATGCCAAGAGCAACCTTGTAGTAGTAGTAGTAGTAGTAGTAGTAGTAGTAGTAGTAGTAGTAGTAGTAGTAGTAGTAGTAGTAGTAGAAGAAGAAGAAGAAGAAGAAGAAGAAGAAGAAGAAGAAGAAGAAGAAGAAGAAGTCAAGTTGATTCTGACTTCTGGCAACCCTTTCCATGCTTTTCTAGGTAGATAGAAGTGGTTTACCATTCCCTGGCAGAATAGCACAGCTCTAAGAGGACTCTGGAATGAAGTCAAAGAAGAGATACCCTGCTTCTCTCATGCTACCCAGTTAGTGGCAATAATTTTGAGGAACATACAGCAGGGCTACTCCCCAGTTCTCAGAGCAGAGCAGAGAAGCGGGCTTATATGCTGAAAGTCCAATGACAGAAAGGCTTGGAGCCAGAACCATGGGCCCACAACGATGGGCAATCCACCCACAGGCACCTGAGATCCCCAATGCCATCTGCACCAAAGCTGAGACGAGCACTGCACCAGAGACCTTGAGAAAAAGAGAGAGACATTTATATACCTTCTTATCTGCCTCTTCAGCATTATTTCTCTCCTCCACCGTGTTTTGTTCAGGCAAGATGGACTGAGATGCTCAAGGGGCAAAGCTGGTGGGGCATTATGGTGAGATTGGAAAAGAACAAAAAGCAGAGATAGAACAATCTGGCAATGTTTTCCATTTCTTGACAGGGCTGGCCCTGCCACCCTGAGGCAAATACTTCAGGAGGCAGATTTTAGCAGGCCAAAGGCAGTCCTTCAACTATTCCTCCTGAGGTCCTTGGCCATTCTCTGTACTTCTTTGGAGTACAGAGTTATATGGGGCACTCAGCCTGTCCTATGGCTGTAGTCCTAAACTACTGTCATCAGGAGAGATAAAAGACACAGTTCCACTGCTAGTGCTGAAGTAAGATTCAGCTGCCAATCCAGTGTGCTTCTGTATTTCAGATGTTAGTCTTTTCCCCCTGGGTAGCAAAGTGTCCTACACTAGCCAACCCTCTTTCCTCACTATGATATGATGATGTTGGATGCCTTCCCTGTGTTCCATGGTGACAACAGAACACCTCATGTCCTGTTGTGATTTTGGTAGTGCCACACTTTCAGCACTGCTGCCCATCTATTATCTCACATTCAACGGGATCCAAAATTTGGAGTCAGCTGGTATGGGACCATCCCACAATGAAGTTCTCTTTATTGAGTTGACAGATCACAGCTACCAACCTCATGGAACAACTGGTCTGAACTTCTTGTGCTTTCGCAATCTGGCTTGGCACATAAATCAGGAGCATCAGTGCCTGGAAAAGAGGGAAGGAAAATGCAGTAGATATGTGACAGCTGGTTGGAAGCAATGAAGAGAGAAGGAAGATCCCAGGATTCAGGCTAATGCTAAACAGATCTGTTGTGGCAGTGAAGCTGCCCAGGGATGAAATCTTCCATACAAACTAAATAAGGATTCCAGAGAAAGATAAACAGAGGAGAAGAAAAGTAGATTAGGTGCTTAAACTAGAACATGGAAATATGAGTTCTCTGAATTATACATCTCAGAATCCCCCAGCTAGCATGACCAAGGGCTGTGTTGGGTGGGAGATTCTGGCAGTTATTGTCCAAAAATAGTTACTTTCCGAACCTCTTGCTTAAAGCAATCACCGGTGACCAATATTAAACATGTGTATCCCTTCTTTCCACCTAAATGTACAAAAGAGACTGTGAAGTTTTCATTCAGATATGGCACCAAATTACGAAAGGACCAGAACTGGTGGATGCACAGAATATTTTTCTCTCATGCACGTAGCATCATCCAACAACACTGACTGCCGAGGCTAACGAATGAAAAGACATCCTTTTGTAACATGTGGCTTGCATGGCTAAATAACATTGCAATGGGCTTTTCCATGCGTGTGCTAAGCAATGGTTACTGATTAGGAGAGTAAAATGGAACCTTCATGATTGCAGGCAGTGTACCTTTCATTATCAAAGGCTGAAGGCAAAGAACTGATGTTGCTTTATGCCTTGCTTGAGAAGCAAGGGTTAGCTAATGCATGGCCAGTTATGTTCCTTATCATGCTCTAATATGAAACAACATATCTTATTTTTTAAATATATTATCCAATACTAGGGCATAGCCAAACATCAGCCAATGAGGTCTGGTTCCAATAGTGCGATATCAACCTTCGCTGAATCCAAAGCTCAAAGTGGCACTGGGAACTTTTCCTTTGTTACCCCATGATTCTAGTGTCCTGCACTCAATGGCTGAATACTTGGATGGAAGAAGACAAAGTGCTGTGTCTGAAACTTACTATTTCCTTTTGAATGGCGAGTGGGAGCCATATGTTGAGTGAGTACTATGGCAGGGATAAGGAACTCAAAAGATGGAGCCTGAACCAGTGGTAACCTGCAGAGATGACAAAGGAGAAACCATACCACAAGAAGTGAAGGGAGCTGCTTTTTGGCAAGCATTGAGAATAAAATATTTTAGAGACAAAATACCTCATCCCTCTTCTGCTTATACTGAAAGTATAAGGCTAAATCAAACCACTCCCCAGACAATAAGAATTTACAGGCAAAGCTGTAGGTCGAGGGACTGAGTAGGCTTACCTGGTACCCAGTCCACACTGGATGGTTGTGGCAATGCCACAAGCAAAGAGGTTGCATGCCAGCAGCTCATCGCAACATCGGATAGCATTGGGCGGCAGGTTGGTTATAAAGAGCAAATGAAAGATGCAGAGAAAAGACACTTGGACCAGGAGATGCTGGGGAGAAGGAACAACAGGCTGAAGTGAGCCATTCAAAGTGATGCTTGGATCCTTGCATTGAAGATGGTATGACACATCCAAGCCTGATAGTACCTCTGAGTTCATTCCAAAAGCTACAGCTTTTGATAGGACCAGCCCTACCATTAGGCAGCAAGCAGGAGATGCTTAAGACAGGAGATTTTAGTTTTCATGAAAAGGGCACCCAATTGTTATGTGTTAGTTGTTAATTATTATTGTGCTTTTACTATCAGGTAGGGAGACACTTGTCAGGTTTTATAACTTAGCTGCCAAAATAACTTGCTTGGCTTTGAGTATTAATGTACCATTGTTGGTGTTGAAGCACGCCATTTGCTGCTATGCCTCAGACAGCAAAATAACTTGGGCCAGTCTTGAACCTGAGAGATTTTGACCAGCTTGACCAAGCTCATTCCTAGGGAGACAAACTGAACTGCCCAGCCATTCTGATTTCAGTGTTGCCCTGACAGCCCCAAATCTTAATCTGTTACTTCCATAACAGGACCAAGGGTGTCTGAATACCCAATATTCTGAAACGCTACACCTTTGCATGGTCCATGTCTTGCTACTGGAAGCGACAGTTACCTGTTCATCACTTCTCATTTTGCAAGACATGTCTCTTGTCAGACATTGTCCTACCTCTCAGCAACAACTCAACTTACCTGCAAGGCCAACAAGCAACTCAGAGGCCAAGAAGGCAATTGGGGGCCTGTATGATGAGCATGGGGAAGGATGTACGGAGAATCCCTTCTGGCTTTGTTCATGCTGTCAGTCTCTTCTTCCTCCTCTGTGAAGGGCTCCTGCATTGCCCACAGCCTACCAACAGGAATTTATTTCCAACTCCTCCCCTTCCTTTGTTCGCTACTTCCCTGGCTGTCTAGGCCTGAACTTCCACCTTTGGCCCTTCTAGGCCATAACTGCTCAGCCAGTTAGCCATTAACTTGGGCTTGTCCAGTAATAAGGCCCCTATGCTGGTTGGTGAAAGGCATGACTGAGCAGGGATGAACCAGAGCAGTCTGTTTTCACGTGTCCAGCAGTACTGCTGGGTACCAGACCCAGCTTAGTGAGCAGCATCAGCAGTTGAATTAGGCCTGTGGATGACCACTCACTCCCAAAGATTGGAAGTGCTGCTATGGGGAAAACAAGCCCAGACACACACTCATTTATATAAACTGTAAGGCACTTCCATTATAGGTCAAATGTTCTACTTTTACTCATGTGTGTGTTATCCACGGCTACATTTGAACCAACTAACAATAACCCCAGGGCTTTCGAGGCAAGTGAAATATTTTAGAAATTGTTTTACTAATTTCACCCACTTGGTCCTCATGAGTTGCTATGGCCAAAAGGGTATTCAAACCTTGTTTCCTAAGTCTTAATCTGTCACTCTATCCACTACATCGCCCTGGGTATCATTAGGCTGAGTTACAATAATGCACTGAGAGAACTGACTGGATGTAAAGCTATCTAAAAACTGGCCAGTTTCCAGATCTGTGGACATTTTAATTAACTACCTCTTTCTTTAAGCATTTGCACTGGCTAGATTCAAAAGTGGAACAATAATTGGTGCTTCTCCATACCTCCTGTATTTCACACAAGAGGCAAACCCAGGACTGCCACCAAATGTGAACTAATCAGCTTAAGAAAGCCAATTTAAGACTACTCTGCCTACATATCACGTTTTCCTTATTTTACACTTTGGTGTTCACTTAAAACATTTCAGCTAACCATTTAAATTTCAATCCTGACGCTACCATTTTAAAGGAGTCCAGTTCTCTCTGTATTAATGTAAATGTTATAATAGCAGCTAGTCAGAGTAGCTATTTATTTACCCACCTCTATGGACCTCAAGATGGCATATAAAGTATTCCCCAACACTATACTATCCTTACAACAGTCTTGAGGTGGGTTAGGCCAAGAAATGGTGATTAAGGTTGCCCAGCAAGTCTGATGCCCCAGCAGGGATCTGAATGTTCTCCTTTGTTATACCTGGGCCAGGGGAACCTAAAAAGAAACCAAAATCCCTTTCCCATGGATCTCCAAATAAAGTGGACAGTGCATCTGATTTGCATAACTTGAATACTGCTTGTTTTTAGAACTGTTCTCAACGGGAGCCATGTTCCCCCCGGAATATCTGAAAGGAGCCAAGTTGGAAACAACTCTTCACATACCAGTTTATAAAGTTTGTAATGTGACTTACACAATCTTGATTCAGCCTATATTTCTTTCATACCATGTTTATGGCCGTGGCCAAAAAAAGGGGTGGTGGTGGTCAGGAATGGCTGTTCTATGAAAGAGAGCACGCTAGAATCTAGTTACTGATGAGATGACCAGGACTTATAACTCTTTAATGCACCTGAACAATCTCATGTATGTCTGTTTTTGATTTATGCACACTTGATCAGCAGCATAGCCCACAAAATAGTCATGCAGGATCAGACAAAAGTCCTGTATTGTTCCCATAGCACCCGGCCACCTGATTCCAGAAAGTTCAAGGGCACAATACAAGTACCACAGTAGCCTCTCGCTCCTACTAACCAGTAGCAGCTGGTTTTCAGAGGCACATACAATGTGCAAGAGGCTGAAGAGTACTTACAAGTAATCATGATAAAGGGAAGCTGTAACCATCATTTTAAGTCTTCATTCCAAACCCTAGTTACAGTCCGGGTTTGCCCAACATTAACATGTTTCTATTTGCCTAAACATTTCAAACTTCATAAAAGCGAAGTCTTAGGAATTTCAGAATTGAGTTCACCGTGGCTTTACTGATCCCTTGCCTCCCTGTCCCACCCACCCATAGTACAAGAGCAAGGACGTCAGAACAGACAGATGGTACCTGGTTGCAGAAAAACAACATGAGACACAGATGCGTCAACAGCTATCTTTATTAGAAGAGATCCCACCCACACAAAAGAGTGAAAACTACAGCAAAAAACGTGCTGGTAGGAATAGGGTGTCAGCAGCAGTCGCCCCACTTCACCCCGAGAACTGGAGAGGCAGACAAGCACAAGGCAAGGGCACCAAAATACCAATTCAATCTGATGAAATGGACCGTCCATGGGCATCAACTGTGTAACTGGCACCATTTTCCTTCCACAGCAGTCGGTGATGAAAAACCCTCCAACCCTGCATGGCTCTTAGAAAGCAAGGGACATTGCCTTCACGAAGGAAAGCAAGGCAGGCAGACACAAGGGACAGTAGGAATGAGTTCACACATTACTGTTAATGGCATGATCACCAGGTAAGACTTCAAAAGTGTAGGATTGCTGGCATTTGGCACCATGGCAGTGAAACACCGCAGATCATTTCTTCTAAGTGCTCCACATAAATTGCCACACAAAGAAGATCAAGTTAGGGGGTGGTTCAGAGTGCCCAGCGTGTGTGTTTTAAGCCACCTTACGTTTTATTTTATGCAATGAGGGAAGATCTCACTGGTCTCCAGGGCAGATCATTGGCTCAGCTCCAGTGGAAGAAGGTTACAACAGGCCCAGGCTTCACAGTTTCAGTCTTCAACCTATCCCAGTCTTACAGTCCTATGATTCCAGTAAATTCCTGGAATACTTTAAGCACAGCTACCAACTGGGGAGCAGAAAGGTCTTGGAAGTCATACCCAGAAGGGGGATTGGAAATCCACTGGGATATAGACTGCTAAACCTATCCCTTTCTATCCCTTAGCACCCTTGTGGTTTCTGCCTTTCAGATGGCCGCAGCATCTCCCACTAAGATGCTCCCCACCTCCTAACCCTAAGCCATGTCCCCTCCCTTCATTCCTAGCTAAGGAACATGAACGCTTTAATCCTTCCGAGTTCCAGAGCAGCCTGCGAGGGGCACTGATGCAATACCGGGGGCTGAGGCCAGTCTTTGCAGTTGGGAGACATAGAAAGGTGCCAGTCCCAGCATGAGCGAGTGGTACAATGAGCAGCAAGTCCAAAGGGCATTGATGGTGCAGCACGGTGGGCGCAAGCTGTGTGGTTGGTGGTCACACAAGTGGTGGGTTGACTGCAATGTGGACAAAGTGAGGGACTCAAAGAGATGGGTGATGGAGAACGTAATACATTAAGAATGCTGCTCCACAGATAGAGTGCTGTAGTGGTGACACCACTGCTTCCTGGTTCCTGCCGTTCACCTGGAAAGCTATGGTTCTCTGCTAATGGGTAGAGAAGGTTGTTAGGGAGCACCAAGCTGTGACCCATTTCCTGAACTGGAGAGGCGAGAGGCAAACACGGAGCTAGCAGACCTCCTGTGCTGACCAAATCCACAGGGCCAGTCCTCTTCAGGTGTGCTGTGTGATGCAGGACTGCTGCAGAAGCAAGCACAGCAGCAATACCTGTCAGGTACACCACGCCAAGGATACAAGCCAGCTGTAGAAAGAAAAGATCATGTGATTATGTGCCTTCCCTTCTGCTCCCCAAATTTCCCTTATCTGGTTCAATCCAATTGAGGCTAATCTAGAGTTTGGAAAAATTATGTTTCTGGACTACAACTCAGAATCTCCCATAGCACTGGCTGGAGGATTTGGGAAACTATAGTCTTTCAAAGGGTAACTTTCCCAAGTTTTCGCCCAGGCATATATATTACTTCTCTCTCAAATACGGAAGAGTGAGTGGTTTATTTGATATGTGTGCATGATTAGGTGCATGCAAGCTGATCAAGGGATACATTTCCATCCAGATTTCATCAAGACAGGTTGGTAAAGCTTTTTCCAACCCCCTTCCTCCCTTCTTAGGAAGCCTGGCATACCTGCTTGCTTTTTAGAGTCAAGAAATTAAGTTTTAAATCTTAGTTTTGTAGAGGCTTGCTGGATAAATTACCCAGCTGTATTAACTATTTCGTGTGCATGTTTGCTGTCTGCTGTTTTAGCCACGTCATGGTTAATTTGGCTATTTCTCATGTTTTCAGCTGCTTCTTTTGTTTGCTTAATGACACCATCATATCATTTTAAGGAATTTCTGCATTAAGGATGGCCTAGAAAGTTAATTAGCAACATCAAGAAGTTTAATTCATTTTTTTCAGGCAATACTACACTGCAGGCATAACACGGACATACACAGATACACACGGACACACACGAAGAGAGGCGAGGGGAGCCTTCTAGCATTGAAAGTCCACTCAGTTTTTTCTACTTTTTCTCCAGCCACAAAGCATAGTTGCTCTCTCTTCTCCAAGCACACTGGCTTTATTAGCCTCTGCTATCTTACCTTGGTCACCTGCTGGTAGAACTGACCCAATGCCTGCTGCCACAGTGTTTGTTCCATTAAGACACACAAGTCTGTGTAAGTGAACCAGCCACGTCGAATGCCCTGCCTCTCAGCCACACTGCAGAAAGAAAAGAAAGAATCAGGCCCTTTCCCCCAAGAATGGCCCATCACAGAACATGCAACTTGGGAGCATCCCGCACCACAACCAAGAACTGTCTTGCTGGTACTCAGAAAGGTATCAATTGCACAAGCATCCAGAAATTAGAAAAATAACCTAGCAGTTGGAGAAGCAGTCTTCCAATATTTTCCCTGGTTTTCCAGATTAACTGGCTCATTAAGAACACGGCTGCTGATTCCAGAGCTGGAAAGATTCTGTTTAAAAAACCCAGCACAACTGTTGATTACTATTTACCAGCTATACCGTAGGATCCCTGTATCTGCTGTTTCAGTTACTGTGGTTTCATTGACTTTTGGCCTGAAGTTTTGACTGTGGACTTTCTAGCCAAGAGCAGATAGACTGGTGCCCTCTTTCATGCCATGCCACTGGTAAGCAAAAATCAGGCAGTCTGGTTGGCTGTTGCCTGCTTTTAGTAGGAGGTACAGTATTTTAAAAATAGATGCATTTCAAAACTGGCTTTTAAACCAATTGTTTCAACAAGATAATCTGTTTAACTGTGTTTTAATACTGTAACAACTCCCTGTGTGCATTTACGGCCAGCTGTATTTTAATTACGCTGTGACTAACTCTGAGTGCCACAGTTGGAAGAAAGGTAGTACACAAATTAAATAACATTAAAGGAACGGAGGGTTCATCAAAACCTTGCAATCTAGCTGCACATCTGCAAGTTCCCTTCTAAACAAAGCATGCAGGAAGGTATTTTGTAGCCATTCTCAGCTCACCAAGGATGAACAGCAGCTATTGCCCAAATCCAGAAAGGCAAACAGGTTCTGCTGTTTCAGCTATAACAATACCATCCTGAAGAAGTAAAGATACTCACCGTCCTTCCACCCAGCTGAGCACTTCAAAAAGTTCCTTGGGATCTGTATAGAGGCTCCAATCCTATTAAAAAGGGGAGAAATTATTTAGCCAGAACAATAAAACTAAATCCCTTTTTCTTTTTTGCTCAGAACAAGAGAGAACTCAAATCTGGCTAGGCAGGCACCCAGCTTGCTGGGGGGGCAATGTGTAGCCTGTATAATTAAAAAATTGTAAACCGCCCGGAGAGTGCTTGTAGCGCTATGGGGCGGTATATAAGTCCAATAAATAAATAAATAAATAAATAAATCTGGCTAGGCAGGGAAATGATGTACCTGATGTTCTAGCCCTTCAGAAGTTGGTTGGCTACAACTTCCATCAGCTCTAGCCAGCACAAACTGGAAGAGAGTATAGGAGCTGCAGTTCAACAATTCAGAGAGGGTCATGGATTCCTAACCTGTGCTTTATTGGAAAACTCTGAAATGGAGGCTACCAAAACAGCAATGTCCACACTGCTCACAATGACCAGGGGAAAACTTTCCCTGCTATGAAAATGCAGCTATTGGGTTGGTAAAGGTTAGGTAACTCTCTCCATTTTTCCTGCCTGGAGTTTTCAAATCTAACAATATTTCAGCAATAGCGGTGACTCTCCTCTCATGGAATGCCCTCAGCAAGTATGGGCAAGAGAGACATCTATACTAATGTCATTCAAGCATCCGATTAAAATCCTTCTTTTCACTACTAGTTATTTTAACAGAAGATTTTGAACCTGCTGGGACTAAATTTTTTAAAAATAAGGTCGGCTGGTTTTATCACGCTGCCATTCTTTTATTCGTCGTGATGATGATGACGATTGCTACTGCTACAATCCCAAAAGGTCCCTTTCCTAAGTAGCAACCCCCCCATGCCGATCTGAGCTCTGTCTGAATTCAGCACAGCCTAGCATGCCTCTTATCTCTTATGGTCTTCCTCTTTTCACAAAAATCTTATAGCAGAGTCTCACAATTGCACGGAGGAAATTCATCTCCAGGGTGTTCATGGTCTGTACATCCACCTTGCCTGCAGCACCCCATTCATCATTGAAGACCTCCTCCTCTTCCCCTTCGTCATACAGGTACTTGCTGGCAACCATCTGAAAGCAAGTGGAGGAAAAGTGGCAATGAGGTAACACAGATCAAAACTCCAACCACTATCCCTGCTTTCCTTATAGTATTGGCATGACAACATGGGCCTGTCCTTCCAATCATAAAAGGTGCAAGAAAAATCCATCCTTGCTTTCAGATTTCCTGTCCTAGCAAGGTGAAAAGATGAATCTATAATATCACCTGTACCGAAATGTTATAGTACTTTTTGCACTCCAGCCATTTTGGGCTGAAACTTCCACAGCCCCTGGACACTAGCCATGTTGAGTGTAGCTGCTGAGCACTATAAGCTGTACCATCTGAAAAGGCCAATGGTTTCCATATAAAGCCAGTGAGAAGAAGTCAATACTTTTGAGTTTAACTGGTTGAACAAAGGACATTCATTTATAGTTAGATAAAAAGAAAAAAAAGCTATTAGAAAGGCATTAAGTGATGGGATTGCAAGTAAGAAGGATTATGGAGATGGTGGCAGGAAACCTGTAGCAGAAAAACACCAATACTAATTTAGTAAAAGTCAAATAAAATTCAGAATATAGAGAAAATAAATAATAAAAGGTAGAAACACTGAAGCTTATGGCACAGTGGCAGGCTAAGCCATATGACATGGAAAATAATAGACAACATTCCTATGGCAGTAATAGCTTGCTCAAAACAATGCTTTCTGCAAAGAGTTTCCACAGTTTTATACTCCTTGCCAACCACCCTGTAATCATCCACACCGCATAACTATTCCTATGTTTCAGAGAGGAATCTGCAAGTTGCTCACCATGGAGATCAAGAAAAGATCAGAAGATGAAATCTGCTGTAGGTATTCAGGATTGCGGTGGCGAAGCCTCTCAATGTAAACCAAGGCCAGCATCATGGAGCAGGGGGAGATGCAAGCTTCCCTGGAATTAAGAGTTAAGAGATAATACCTCATAATTTCATTAGTCAGGCTGGAGACTTAACCTGTATATCAGAAGGATCTGGGGAGCTGGAACATCCCACCCTTTGGGACTGAAGGATTCAGCCCTACCCAGAGGCCCTTCTACTTGCAAAGAACAGCCAACGTTCAAATTCCATATGCTACATATATGACAAATACATTCCCAATATTTTTATCCAAAATGGAATCTTTCAGTCTCACAGAAGGTATTCACAGAAATAGTTCCAAGAAAGTGCCACCAAGGCACTATAGCAGGTATGGATACACAAATACACACATTTGTCATACACTGTATGTACAGTGCTGATCCTGCACAGCTATTTTGTAATGCTGTTGCAAAAGGACTGTTCCAGCTTTTCTTCAACAGCTGATTGAGAGTACAAACTAACTTGTTTGTGCATATATCATTGTATTTCAACACATGTGCAGCATACGTCCTGAAAATGGCCCTCAAAGTAACATGAATGCAGATCCAAATGTTAAATTAAATAAATTTTTAAAAACCCAATCCCACATCCTCCCCTGACCTCCATAAAAAAAAGAGAACTTGCATGTATGCGAAACAGAGGAATAAAAGGAACAGAGCACTTCACTATATTATGTTTATATTTTATTATGTTGTGAACTGCCCAGAATGACCACAGGTCAGATGGGCAGTATACAAATTGAATGAATGAATGAATGAATTAATTAATTAATTAAATGGATTCCAAATCATACCGGGAGACATGGGACACATATTTCTTCTGGAGCCTCCGAATGGGACTGGGAGCAGCTTTCTGGAGTATTTCCACAGCAATATCTAGAAATGGAAAAGAAGTAAGATTCAGAGCTATGTGCAAAGTCCTTTGTCTCCAAGACACACTAATCTCCTAGCCTTAAAACTACATAACAAAAATCAATGCCTCTGTCCTACAGGGAAAAACGTGATTTAATCTACTTGTGCAAAGTCCTTTGTCTCCAAGACACACCAATCTCCTAGCCTTAAAACTACATAATAAAAATCAGTGCCTCTGTCCTACAGGGAAAAACCTGATTTAATCTACAGTCCACCTAAGTAAAAAAGGAGATGTTTGAGAATGGAAAGCACAAGGTTGACTTTAGAGCTGTTTTATTTTATTTATTTATTTATTGGATTTTTACCCCGCCCCTCTAGACAATGTCTACTCGGGGCGGCTTACAATTAAAACTGTTGTTGTTGTTGTTGTTGTTGTTATATTTTTTTTATTTATACCCCGCCTATCTGGCCCAATGGACCACTCTAGGCGGCTTCCAATATAAAATCAGATAATAAAAACATAGGCAAATACTCAGCACTGCTTACTGTTTAAAATAATCACAGAGCCTCCTGTATCATTCACTCAGTCCTGTGAATTATCAAACACATGAATACAAGTTCTTCTGTAACACCCACCCACCCATAGCCTGACCTGCTCTGAAGAGTCTGTGGTTGTGGGCTCAATTTTGAGAGTGCAAAGGGCAGCTTTAAGCAGAGATGGGACATCCACCCTGGAAGGAGTTCCATCAGGAGAACAACCCTACTCAATCCTAACCAACATTCCAACAGCAAAGAGAGGCCAAAACACAACCAGGCAAAGCCTACAGTAGTGAGCAAGGAATTGGCAGAGAAGGTGCAGTGACTGGTCTCAACATTCCCCAAATCAAAAGCCTTTGGTTACAGAAAAACAAATAAGTGTGTAAATGGACACTGGAACTGCCAATCTTGATACTTCCACAAAGGTATATAATAATGCTTAGTAGACTTTGTGTTGGACATTTTTGTCATCATCTGCATGTCCTTCCAGCTTGACAAGATCAGTCAGATTCATATTTACTCCAGGGACTGCTGACTAAAGCTTGGATTTCCAGCCTGTGAAATACTTGCTTAGCAGCCATGAAAAACCTACTCGGTCAGTTTTTCAACCCTACCTATCTGCCCATTACCACCAGTTCCATGTTTGGTTGAAGGAAAAATGTTACGTTTGGTGGCCAGTATTCACCCTAGATCTTTTCGGAGTGTTAAAATAATAGTTAAAAGTTGTATATAATGGGATGTGACGTTCACCCTCGTGCCCCTTTTGCTTGACTTTCAAGCCTCAGAGCACACAAAGGCAAACACTCTCTTCTTTTACACTTGCTGCCACCAGGTGATCCCGAAATCACCATTACCTCAGAAAGATTCAGGTCCACACTTCAAGTTCTTTTAAATAAAACTTTGGCTTATTGATTACATAGATTGATTCATGAATATCTTCAGTAGTTAATCATTCCTCGGAATTTCCCCAAACTACATACTCTGTTACTCTGTCTGGCTTTCCTCTCCTGCCTGACTCTTACATTTCTCTAACTTAAACTAACTCTCTGACTCCGTCTCTTATAGCATCTCTCTTGACTCCGCCTCTCAGCAACATGAATATTCATAAATCATTACATAATACAACAAGAACCATAGATCTAATAAATGGAGAACGCTACATGGGATTTCCCCTTCTAAACATCTCATAAATATACAGGAAGTCCCTCATGTTTGAACTGCCAACCCACGGTTCACTGACAAGAGCAAGAGCCGGGGACGATCTCTGTCTACCTAAGGGCCAGACTGAATCGTCAAAAGCTGGGAAATCATAGGTAAGAGGATGTAGCCATGGGGGTGGAGAGCAGAGGCCATAATTGAGAAACAAAGAGTACTAGATCTTCCTACAGGACATAAGTTTTCCTGCCCCTGACCCGAAGGAAACCAAAGCAAAGGAACCTATGTTACAGAGCCACCCTGCTATCTATTGAGCTACCGCTCTGCTCTCCCATCCGCTTCAATCACAGAACTGAGAGAATCATCATCATTAATTCAGTTGAGTACAGATCCAGCATAAGGAGAGGGTCATAAATGACTCCCCATGTGCTGCAGCCTTTAAAAGCTGTCAATTTCCTTATGTTGTATCTGCTTTAGAATTATGTTTTTTATGGCAGGAGCCGCTTATCTGCCCAGCTAGCTAAACATCCTGTTTAATTTAGGGCCCTTTAATATAAAACCATGTTCCTAGTCACGAATAATTCACACGCAAAGTAATCCTCTTCCATATGACTCAACATCTACAAGGGAACACAACATGACTTCCACCCCTGCAGTGATCTCCTGTGTTTAAGCACCCTGTGATGTTGATAGATGAGCACAGCAGGAAATTAAATCATTGACTGTATCAGAAGTAAGGGGGAGATAGGGCAGGAAAGATTAAATCACCAAACATGGAAAAAAGAGGAAGAAGGGAATGATCAATAATCTCTCAGGCAATATGAAAGAGAGGGGGGGCAAGAAGGGGCATAGAAAGAGGGGAAATTTCAGCTCCATTGAGCTTACATACCAAGGCAGTGATAAAAAAGAGAAAGAGAGAGTCAGCAAACCAACATAGTTCAGCTCATATAGATCATGTTCATCAAACCCTAATTAAAGTGAATCTTCATTGAACTCTGGGATGGTAAGGTACTTGAAGAAGCGGAAGGGAAGAAAGCTTTTCACCCGCCCTAGATAAAGTTGGGACTTCCCTGTTCTCAGGTTCCTTTCCCTGCCCAACTGCAATCTTTCAAAGCCAGACTCACCTGCAACTGGACTTGAGAGATTATCAAGGGTGCCATCTTTATCCCAGCCATAGTAAAGCCGCTTGCGTACGCGATCGCTTAGTTGCTGGTGCCTGGGAAGAAACTGAGAGAAAAGAGAAGCCAATGAAGGCCTGCTTGCTGGGCCTTCTCCATTGTTTCTTTCCTACCCAGCCCACATGCAGCTGTATACCTCAGACCTATAATTCAGTATATAAAGGTACGGTTAGTGCCCACAGGAATAAACGGAATGTACTGTAAAAACTCATAAATGACTTCTGTTTCAGGCAGGATAAAGGTTGTTCAGGGGGGATCTGACAGGGGCCACACAGTCACATGTGCACAAGTAAACAGACATGCACTTGCTCTACACCACACACATATCCCAATTTCCACTACAATTAGCCTCTCTCCTCTCACTTCACCCACCTCAGTGATAAAAGTATGACTGCTTACCAGTGAGGTATAGAAAAAGATACACCGTAAGAGTCCTTCAAAAATCTCCAGGTGAGTCTAAAAATGTTATGCAACTTTTTGTGGCTTCTTTATTATTTATTATTT